TAAATCCAGATATTAATCTCAGATATTGGCTGTATTTTAACCCAGAATCTTCAATCAAACTAAACGAGGATTAAATTGCAGTTAAATAAAAAAAAATACATAGTAGATGGAACCACGCTGCAGCTATAATATCAGGGTAAAATAGCAGCTCAGTTCTATGTTTCGTATGGTGAGTGTAGAGAACCGGACACTTTAATAGAAACGAGGCATTCCATCTTAGTCCTCAGGAGTGCCAACGCAATCAGCATTTTGATTCTTAATCGAGGATAAATGTAGAAGTCTATGCGAAACAATATCCATCGACCGTCAGGAGGTCTGTGTGCTCGTTTGTCACCTTTATCCTGAAAAAATTTGGACCAGAAAGTTAACCACATCCAACGCACTAGGACGAAGCTAGGTTTCTTTATAGGTATTATAAATAGTGAAACAGCTATTATGTTTCTACTGGTCTTCTTCTTCTTCAATACTCTATACCAAAAATACCTCAAATAGTCTATACTCTATATCAAAAAAAAACTTTCTACAACCAGTTGAGGACGTTGCAAAGAAATGAATGGCCTTCAATAAAGACCCGAAAGTAGGGAATTGAGATAAAATATCGGAGCACCCTTTGAGGGTAAAAGGCCTATTTATCACTATATCAAGCGGCCGAAAGATAACTATGGAGCTTTCTGTCCTTATCTTCTAAAGTGATGTAGTTTACGTATGTCAAAGCTAAACTTCACTTGCTACAAATATATACATTTCCTACTTTTACAATATTTTATTCGTAGTTGAGGATGGATGTAATTTGGGCCACAGCAACTACTTACATCAGGTGCATTGTGTGCTCGTTTGTAACTCTTATACTATAAAAAAAGTATTATTTATAATTTATATTGAATAAAAAAGTTTCTATTTCTATTTGAACTAGGGAAGAAGCAACTCTTTTTTTGCCAAACAAAGCGTAAAAAGTGCTCGATAAATATCTTAACAGCCATTTTATTCTAGAAATCTGTAGCATTTCGCGACTTGTTTATTTAGCAGAGTAATAAATACTGTGCGAGTTAATTTCAAGGCAGTTACTTGCCTTGCTATTGTAAAGTTCCACGAAGTAAGAGCACTGGACGCCTACTTCGCTGTACTGTTTGCTACGTACTTAATGACCACTTGCGAAGTTCAAGTAGCCAAAGTACAAGAGATTTATTTCACTTAAGTATTCTACTATACTCTCTAAAGCTTCGTTCATGTTTAGGTATATAGTTAGGCCGCAGCGCAATACCATAATCGAGTCAATTATCTGATTACATGTATCGTGTCTGTCTGTCTATACGACTAAAATAAATCTAATACATAAAAAATAATTTTTGTTTGTTCGTATTTTATGCGCTGCCATACCGTTCATCAGATTGCGGTAAAACTTTGTCAACTTGTTTTAACATATCCATCACGCTGCCATACCGTTCATCAGATTGCGGTAAAACTTTGTCAACTTGTTTTAACATATCCATCACCTAAATACACAATTTCTGCCTAAAAAGCACAACAAAAACAAAACACAAAGAAAAGATAATAACACTCATACGTAAACCTCCGGCATTAACTAGGAACGCAGAAGCGGCTAAGACATGTCAGTTTGCCATCAGATATACGGTTATGCGCGACAGAGAGAAATGGAGCAGCCCCCGGGCGGGACTGCGATAAATAAGGCGAGGGAAAAAAACGGACACACAGATAGCCCAGTATGTCACTGGGATTACATTCGTTGGCCCGTATTTGAATAAGAATTGCCAATAAAGAAGGCCGCTTAAACGACACTACTAAGCTATTCTGCTCGCCTGCTATCGATCTGTGTAATCGCCGAGTATAAAAACGAAGCTCTTTTGGTGAAGAAGGTAAAAAAGCTTTTTATTAGTTATATTATCAAGAGAGGAGGGCTGCCAGATTGCAAAATTAGATAAAAACCATTTAAGCGGGTTAATCGTTACAATTAAGTATACTTTGTTACTCATCATCATGAAGAAATTATGACAGAAATATGATGAATTGAATGTCAATACACTGACCACTAGAACGTTCCTTGCTAACTCTACCACTCACTTACTCTTTCCTCCCCTTTTACTGGATGCGAGGCATTCTATCTTAGTCCTCATGGGTGACAACGCATCTGCATTTTGATCATTTATTGAATTGGAGGAAACATGTAGATATCTATGGGTCATAGCATTCCTTCTTATAAGGAGGACTGTGTGCTCGTATGTCACACTTATTCTATAAAAAAAAGGTCTTCATTTAAAAGAAAAAAAAGTATAGTATAAATGAAAATGTAAAAAATGCAAATTACGACTTAAGTTTGAGACATTAAATATTTAATAAATGATTTAAAGAAACTCTGGTGAAACTGGTGTTACGTTAGCTGCGATTCATTATCAAGATGTTTTAATTAGCGGAATTCCCAGGCGGTCCCAGTTGTTCAATAAATTACCTAAAATTTTCGGGAAAGGGTCGAGTTTTAATAACTTCGCGTCTAGGGGGAAGTATAAAGTATCAAAAACATTTTAAATATTTTAAGATTTATTAAAAGGTATTCTCACCAAAATGGCCCAGACGAAAGGTTCTACAGGTGTCTGTATATGAATATTAGTTTGTCTGTTTCTTTGTGAACACTTGTAGCAATCGTTGAGGGTAGATGGATTAACGTTTATTAACGATTTGCCTTTGATTGGTCGATGTAATTCGAATTCGATTGGTGCTAACTTTCCGGTGTTCATAGGCTTATAATATGTCATAGGTTTATCTTTACGACATTTTATTTCAGAACAAGTATCCTCCAGATATTTCCTTTGCCAACACATGATTCAAATAGACAGTCAAGAAAATTAATATATTTTGTTTTACTCAAATAAGTGTGACATACGAGCATAAAGTCTACCTGATGGTAAATGGTTGGTGTAGCCTGTAGCCCATAGACATCAAAACCAAAGGTCGATTAAGAATCAAAATGTAGATACGTTGCCACCTTGAGCACTAAGAAAAAAGATCTTTTCCCGAGTAAACCGACCCATTCATGCTGCAGTCGTTCAACTAAAATTCTACCACAAAAAAATAAAACCTATAAACAAAAATAAACATAAAACTTTCTAAATAACGAATGGCGCGCAGATTTATTGCCAGTGTTACAATTTCCACCTTTAGTCATTCGTTCCACAACGAGCCTTTGGAATGCTACGGACCACACTTCAAATATGGTCACAATCGATCGGACAAAGTTTTGTTCCTATTTGAAAGGAATTTAATTCAAAATTCTCGCCGCCGCCGCGAACGGATCTGGCAACAATTCTCCTGTAATGGCTTTCCGATGTAATTGTTGTCGCTTTGCCGTAAAGTTTCATATTAATTGAGATTTTGATTTATGGCGTATGGCCCAGTAACAGTGACGTAAGCATCCTGTTCCTCATGAAAGTCCCACTTAGGGAAATACCAGAAAAACTAAGTGTGATGATTTATGGAAGAAAAACATCTCAAAAGAATGACTCAAACTATTTCAGAGATGAAAAGAAAATAAATTAGTGCCAGAATTAGTCTGTTCAAGGTCCATTTTCGGACCTACACATTCAGTTATGTGTCACCAGACATTTTTTGATTCACAATTAGACCCGGTAGGTGGCGCTGTTGTCAAGATCCAGAAATCACAAGTATCGGGGCGGATCGCTAGTCTCAATATATAATAATAAAACTCGAAAACAGCTCAAACTATTTTGATAAAATTAATCTATTTTGATAAGAGGTTCGAGGTCCAGAAATCATCCGTGCTACGCCGGGCGGATATCAAGGGATAGAAGAATAATTTAAAAATATATTCTTCTATCCCTTGATATTTTTAATTCTTTAGAATGAGAACTACACTTGCCAATCATTTTATGACTTTCCGCGTGGTGTTACATAAATAATTACAAACTTACCTACATTTTATACATAAAATAAAAAATATTAAGAAAAAATATAGTCATAAACCTCATCTTAATTAATTATTTTTGTAGGATGTTTTTTCATACTATCTTTAAATAAAAACAAATTATTTTTCTATTTATGTACATTAGTAGAGAAGTAATTCGAATTAAAAAATATGTTTTGCATTCCGTAGATATTTTATCTCTAAAATAATGAATGAACTGTAACAATGCTTGGAAATAACTTCAAGCGCACCCGGTTAAATCGTGTTTAGCGAACGCTGAACAGGCGTGTTTCACATTCTAGAACAAGTTTACACATTCTTGCCCGCGGAGTTGCGAACGGCACGAGTCTACAAAGACTACGCCAATTTAGAATCTACAATCGTCGGGGGGCGTAGCTCAGATGGTAGAGCGCTCGCTTAGCATGCGAGAGGTACCGGGATCGATACCCGGCGCCTCCAAGGTCTTTTTTTTATGATGCTTGTACATTTAAGTTATAGTTTGAAGATGTTTTTACGTATTTTTTAGTTTTATTATTTAGAAATATGGTTAACACAAAACTATTCAAAAAATATTGATATTGTGCATATTATAATAGTTGTTATTTTTTTCTTTTTTTTTTCTTTCTTCTTTTCTAAACTTCGACCGTTTGGTTTCGATTCAAACCTCCCAACGAAAGCTACGAGTAGTACAGTTATTATATATATTAGTAACTCTTTCTGATTTTATTTTATATATCTATTATTTTTAGAATTGCTTATAATATTATACAGTATCCTTATTAGTCAACGTGAAGTGGCAGTGTAAATAATCCACTACCCATATCACCCCGTGGGTATCGCAAGAGGCGACAGAGAGAAATTGCAACAGGAGATGGGCAGCAGAGTGTTCCTAATAAAAGCTGAAAATAATTTGCCAGCATATATAAACAGGCTATAATAAATGAATACATGAAGTATCCTTACAAGAAGTAGGTACACAACAAATTCATTCAAAGTCCGACTTGGTCAAACCAAATATATGCAATGTTGTTAGCAAGATGTGTGTGATGTGATAGTGAGCACTTACCGATCCCTTTCTTCCGGGGAAACTGAAGAATACGTCCGGTCCATTCCTGTGCGGCATCTGACGCAACACGTTGAGCAGCTTCGCAGAATGACGCGGCTGTAACAATCAAACAAAATTAATGTCGGTACGTTGTAGAGGCACGCTGCAGCTATATTATAGTTGTAGCGTGAATGGGTTGGCTCACCACCAACCAAACTCAAGCGAAACCACGCTCTCACAGAATATCAGCGTAACATAATAGCAGTAGTTCTAATTTAATAGCATTTGAATGCTGCTGTATTTCATATGGAAAGTGTAGAGAACCGGAGACCCTTTTTACTGGGAAATAAGGCATTCTATCTTAGTCCTCGGAGATGACAATGCACCGACATTTTGATTCTTAATTGAAGATAGATGTCTATGGATCACAGCATCCACTTACCATCACGTGGAATGTGTGCTCGTTTTTCACTCTTACTCTTTAAAAAATATGTGTGAAATAGTTATTAAACAGCCTATAAAGTCCAGTAGGTATATGTCAACAGCATAGGCCTCCACAGAGCTAATGAGGTCAATGAAAATTTTAAATCCAGATTATGTCAATATAAACTAAGCTCTTTCTACCTCATATTATTTACGGGCTTTTGTATAAAAACCATGACAGCCCTATCATACCCTAACTAGATCATACTTTCTCAATAATTACTAAACTACGGTAGTTACATTCTCAATAATTACTAAACTACGGAAGTTGCTGTTGCGTTGTTTTAATTAACTGAGCTTCACTTTTTTTTATAGGATAGGATGACAGACGAGCACACAGTCCACCTGATGGTAAGTGGTTGCTGTGGCCCATAGACATCTACATTTATCCTCGTTTGCGAATCAAAATACAGATGCGTTGTCACCCGTGAGGGCGAAGATGGAATGCCTCTTTTCCAGTAAAAAGGGTCTCCGGTTCTTTATACTCACCATACGAAACACAGCAGAGTAAGCTGCTATTTAACGCTGGTATTCTGTGAGAGCGTGGTCCTTCCACGGTCGAGCCGACCCATTCGTGCTACAACTATACTACTAATATAGCTGCAGCATGGCTCTACCACGTAAAAAAACTTTCGTTTCATTTATATACCATGATAATATACATTATGATGGCATAACAGATATTGGAATCAGGTAATTTAACTCGAGATTTTACAGTGGTAAAGCCTAGCAGCACCTATTTTATGGTTGCAGAACATCGGCATCCATTTGACCGGGGTTGGACCATGCGTGAACAGAATATAGGTGTAAAATAGCAGCACACAATGCTTTTAATTTAACGTTTTAACTTTCGACGTTTCGGGTGCTTTACAGCACCCATGGTCATGACCCGATGCCATAGTTAGCCCGGCTACCTTCAGTTTGTGAATATTAATTTTTGGTCCGATCTACGCACAATGAGCTTATAGTAATCTTGAAGTCTTGCAGTTTTGTATGCTGGGGTTTGGATTTAATTTTTTTTAAATTAATTTCATTTAAAGTGTAGTGCTCGCGTAAATATCAGAAATCATTAAGCATATAATGCTGCTGTATTTCGTGCAGTGAGTGACATGAACCGGAGACAGCGTTTTTATTAGAAACGAGGCATAAAAAATTCGATAAGAAAGAAATAAAGGTAGCTCATTCCTAATTTTTAAAGCTACTGACCTAAATGGAAGAATTGTACACACATGCACACAAACAGACATCCTTTGACAAATAAAATTTAGACTCTAGTAGGTATCTAAAGATGGTGTAAGAAATATGTTGAAACTTGGACTTCCGAAAATCGGACCGACCAAACACTTACAAACGTGACGTCATTAAATTATTTTTGTATTTAATTACTTTCGGGATAATATATTTATATTACATGTACATTTGTATGCCATAATATGTATAGCATTCCTTCATCATTCATCATCATTACAGCCCTTCATAAGTCCACTGCTGAACATAGGCCTCCCCCAAGGAATGCCACAAAACACGGTCCTGAGCTACCTGTATCCATCGACTTCCTGCATGTCTTACCAGGTCCTCACTCCATCTAGTGGGGGGAAGCCCTATACTTCGCCTACCGGTACGAGGCTGCCACTCGAGAACCTTTCTTCCCCATCGGTTGTCGGTTCTTCGAGCTATATGGCCGGCCCATTGCCACTTCAGCTTACTAATCCGTTGGGTTATGTCGGTCACTCTGGTTCTACTGCGGATATCCTCATTTCTAAGTTTATCACGCAGAGAAACTCCGAGCATAGCCCTACCCATAGCTCGCTGAGCAACCTTGAGCTTCCTCATCCGGCCAGTAGTGAAGGACCACGTGTCAGTTCCATAGGTAGGTTCCACTGGCAATACGCACTGGTTGTAACATTCTTTATAAACATATAAATATATTCTGGTTTATCCGAACTTCGTAATTTTTTTTTTCATTATTAACTTATTTTTGCTACACTACCTCCCATAAGTAAATCTCTGATTAGCCTAATGGTTGACTGGGAGAGGATGCCCTAAGGTAAATAATAAATAAAATATTATGCACTAATCAACGATGATTAAAACAAAGAACAGAAAAAACACACTTTTATTTTAAATTGGCAATTCTGTCAATGGCAACTTTAGTTATAGTGTGTGATATGTGTGGTGTTCCGGAAATAAATAAACGAATCAACGCGGCGGTGACAGCGCCCTCTCGCATTCACTTCTACGCGGAACGTTAGTGCGATCGGACGCTGTATACCAGCCGTCTCGATTTCTATAATATATTAATTGTTTTATTGGTGCTCCTTCAATTGTATTTATTCGTGTGAACAACACAGTATGTGATCAAAGGCGTAAAGCGGAAGATAAAAATCATACTCAGGAGGCAGCTATTTCGTTTTATCTATTCAAAGAAAAAAGGGAATTGTAAGGAAATTACGACACACACGTCATCGATACGAATACATATTATGTAGGATTTAGCTTCTCGCACTAGGACACTTTTTAAAGGTACATTTTCATCTACCTATAGCCACTCAACCGTCCGCCCCGCGCGAGTGAATCTCGCCAGACCCGTCCGCGAATTAAATATCACGACCGCGCGAGACAGTCTTAAAAACGATTACTAATGAAAAACTACTATAGTTACATTCAAATAAAAAATATTCCCAAAAGACAGAAATTTTATTTTGTTAAAAGAAAATTAGTCAAATTAAAAATAAAGCCTGAAAATAAAGCTTAAAAATGGGAATATCAAAAAAAACGTATTTATTTTTTATTTCGAGTATTACAAGAAAAGTGGTAATACTTACTAGAGACAATTATTTTATATTATAATAGTACATGTACATATTCCCTTTAAAATGACACCAATATCAATAACATCTTATATACTCAATATACATAAGTATATAATGTGTACCCAATATAAATTTGAATAAATAAGTAAATTAATGAAAAAAAAATCGGTTTTAATAATTTCTAGACACATCTCAACAGATATTTCGTTTATAAATTGCTATCAACGTGTTAATAGTGAATCATTATTTTATATTTTGCATTCATTTAACACAAAAACTGATTAGTATACATTTTAAACAACATATAATCAATAAACGATGATCGGGTATAGTGATTAAAATTTAGAGCTAAATCATTATATGTAAACGTTTTGGAATTGTCGTAATGATATATTTACTTATTAAAGAAAATATCTTTACAATTAGTTTGATGTGCAATAACATTAGAAATAACGTATAAAAACAGAAAAGTTTATTGAAAAACACATTTTTGATCGAATTTCCCACACGTTAACATTCCACAAACAAAAATGGCGAAATTTAATTTTAACTTTTTTTTTCCTAAATATTTTGTTACTATAATACAGATAAAATTCACTTTCACAGACGACAAATTTCATATAGCACCATCTATAATTTTTTGATGTATTAATAACAGCTATTTTTTGCGCTGTACGCGTTTAAACCGAAAGATGTCGTTTGGTGCCTAGACAGGTGAGGCAATAATGGTTTTTGGGGACTGTAGTCACCGTGGGCGGTTGAGTGGATAGAGTTCTTTTTTTAAATTCTTTTTTTTTTTAGTAAGTTTAAAAGATATTAAAATTTTATTTAAATACAAGTACTATTCCTATTTTCTAAAATATAACCGAAAAAATGACGAATTCATTGAACATTAATAACGACTTTAGTTTCTCTACAATGTGATAGCCCTGGTTTTAATTCACACTTCGCTGACTTTTCCGAACGATTACCTACATAAGGCTTAGGTTAGATCGTTAGTACCTACAGTACAGAATATCCGAAGATAGACCGTTTCGCTTGCCTAAGTTAATACCTCTTACTTGAATTAAGTTTTGAACAAGAAACCTTATCCCTAGTCTGAACAACCTTAAAAGGCGTCGGTGTAATCACTTGGAAATTTAAGGAAACTGATACTCAGACTTACTTTAGGCAGATTTCAATTGTCATTGGTTTGAAACCAGATATTGTGCTTTACTTGGATAGCAACTATAATTTATTTATATATTATCTACACCGATAAATAAAATTGTAGTGTCTGTCTGTAATATTGAAGTAACTGGTTTCTGTAAAGCTTAGTTATGTTTGCCTTAACTAGCTGTTCCTCGCGACTTCGCCCGCGTGTTATTTGGGGTTTTAGTTTTTTTACGCGGAACCCCTAATTCTTTTTCTAAAATAAAAGTAGCCTAAGTTACTTCTTATGACAACAGCTATCTGCCAGTGAAGTTCTCGTCAAAATCGGTCCAGCCGTTTCAGAGATTAGCCGGAACAAACAGACAGACAGATAGACAAAAATTTTAAAAAAATGTGTTTTTGTTACAGGTATCGTATATACTTTCATATGCATTTAGTAAAACGCCGTTATTTTGACATTACATAGATAGCTTGTTTGCATGCTACTAAGATATAATCAAACATTTTTTTTAATGTCTGTCCGGGCTAATCTTCGGTATGGCTGAACCGATTGTGATGAAACTTTGTGAACAGATAAATATGTATAGATAGGCAATGAGAAGAGGGAAATATTTTATCCGAATAACTTGGACATGTAAAACAAAAACGAAAAATTAATAAAATAAATGGTCTTAAATCTAAACATACGAAGAGAAATATCCAGGCGAAGTCGGGGCGGGCCGCTAGTTATAAACAAAATAGTAACGTGGCTCACTATTGAGGATACAAATTTACACGAACACACGCATAAACACACATACACACACGAACGCACACACACACTCGGACACTGATAAATACACAGGTACACCCACATGGATGTGATACCAAGATAATTTGGTGTTTTTTTTTCTATTTCACATATTTTTTTAAGTTTTTTAAGATTACGAAACAATTTTTGGTGTATGTTTTTTGAATATATATGATATGAATTGCATAAAAGGAAAACACGATTACATGTAATTTTCTCCCTCCGTCATCGTTCCGACTCCGAACGTTACGGAAAGGCTCCGGAGGCCCCGTAACGTCCTAATCGAACCCCTCGTTCCACTAGGTGCCGCAGACCGAAATGTCGCCGGCCAGTCACACATAAACACTACACACTCACCTGGTGCTACAAACATTCTTAGGAAAACAACGGATGGGACATCGAACGCCCAGAACATCGAACGATACGAGTTAGCCGCCAGAGCCGGGGTGCGTCACCCTCTGTTCGGACGGCCGTTAAGCCGCGTCTTCAGTTTTGTTGCCAACACAACAGTTGCCAACACGTGTTGCCAAAAAATGTTTCTGTCAACAAGTGTCTCCACCGAGGGAACAAATGTTGGCAACAAGCGCATTCCTTTGATGTTGCCGCCGAAAATGCAAACAAGTTTTGTTGGCAACTGTTGTGTTGGCGACAAAACTTTGGTGGAGACGCGGCTTTAGATAACTCATTTACTGTCCTAGGAGTCGTCGTTAGGCAAGTAACGACGCAGAATAAGGTAGGTAATATAAAAAAGGTGTGTAAGGCATTTTTTGTAATTACCACAGCCACCCCCGCGTTAAGAGATAAATTTTACCAGGGCAACAGAGATCTTTAGGAACGTGTAGATAATACGAGAAAATACAAGAGCAGCGGCTAAACGTTCAATTAGTGGTAAGCGTTGTGCTCTTTAAATTTGCATCATTGTAATAAGAGGCCGTAATGATCCGGTAGAAGCGAAATGACTTTGCGTTTATTTTTAAGAGTACGCTTTGTTTTATTCTTTTTACACTTCCTTTTGCACTTGACTGGTCGTTTATAAATCAACTGAGTCGTTTGCAGAAGGTTTAAACAAAAAAAACTATACGTAGCGTATACGAAACTTACTCTTAAAATTGTATTGAATATTTTAGTTAAATTCGAATACTGTCGGATGCCATTAATTAAGCACGGCAAATTAAACTAAGGAATTTAATTGCAATTAGCAAAAATTAATATTTTCAGAAAGAATTAAATAATAGGTATGTATAAAGTTTACTTAGAGTAATTAAGCATTAAAGGCTTATATTTTAACAATTTTTTAATTTAAATAAGTTTTCCAGTTCTCTTCACTCACCACACGAACCACAACATCACTATATATACTTTTCAAACAAGCACGCACTCCAACTGATGATAAGTGGATGCTGTGGCCCATAGATATATCTTTCGTCAATAAAGAATCAAAATGCAGATGCGTTGTCACCCCTGAGGACTAAGATGAAATGACTCGTTTCCAGTAAAAAAGGGCCTCCGGTTCTCTACACTCGCCATACGAAACACAGCAGCATTACACTGTTATTTTATGCTGGTATTCTGTGAGAGCCTTGTCGTTTCCTGGTCGACGAAAGAGTCGACATTCGTGCTACAAACGTAATATAGCTGCAACGTGGCTCTAACACGCAAAGTTAAAAAGTTAGAGCGTATACGTCCCATTGCTGGGCACAGGCTTCCTCTTACTTCTGATAGAGTTTTAGGGCAAGGAAGTGTCCGCCGCGCTGCCCCAATGCGTGTTGACGGACTTCACATGTAATCGATTTTTTTCAGACATGCAGGTTTGCCCGTGATGTTTTCCATCACCGCCGAGCGCGTGGTAAATCAGCACTTATAATTGCAATTAATAATTTAACAATTTTATCGGTGCCGGCGGGGATCGAACCCGGGTTGCTCGCGTAATGTGAAATTTAAAGCCAGCGCCTGAGCTATCACGGCTCTAGCACGTATAACGCCCAAATTATATAAAAAAATAATCTCTGTGCCATAATGGTTTTGCTTAAACTGTATTCACCTATGTTTTATGATATATTTATGTTAAACTGAAACTTATTTTTATATTATTTGTATTCCTCACATACTAATTGTAATTTTCTTTGTGAACCAAACTTAGTGTTATTATAAATACCAATCAAATACCAATGCTTAGCACATCACGTTTGTTAGTAAATTATAATTTTTGAGATTTAGGGTATGTTTTTAACGCTGATAAGAAGTTTTAATGTAATTTAATATATAGTACGTGAGGGTAATATGGTCATTTGCATAGATGGCTTTGTGATACGATAGCTCTTCATCAGTCATTCAAATAATAAAGGATCAAAAGAGCGCTACTTTATCGACGCCATTTTGACGGTTGATATTATAGTATTTTAGTAGATTTTAGTATTATTTAGTGTTAAGTTGATTTTTCGAAGTGTTCCTAATTATATATATATATATAATTATAATAATAATAAGGCTTGTTTGCTATTTTTTTTTCTTAATATATTAGTTATAGTGTAGAAAATTGTGTATTTATCTCTGTCCTCAGTCCTAGTTTTTTGTCCTAGTTAGTTTTAGGAACTCCTCAGTTATATTTTGCTCGAATGTTGGTAATGGAGGTGAATATGAGTACCTTTTTTGGTAAATAAAATTTTTGGTAAAATTTTGTGATAATTTTTTTGCCAAATAAAATTTTACGATGTTGTATTTTTGGATGTAGTGTAAGGAATAAAAAATAATGATAATCGTAACTTACCCATTTGCCATTAACGGCTTTCATGGCGTTAAACAGCTGTTTGAGCTCCTTGACTGTGACACTGTAACTCGCGAGTACGCCTAACATCTCGATGAGCAGATCTAAAACAAAGAAAAAAACAATTATTTTCTAAACATTAATCCCATATTTAAGAACTACTGCGTGTTTCTAGTGATCACATATGGACCTGAGACGTGATCCGTCACTGCTGGACAAATGAGGAAGTTCAAGGTCGTTCATCGAGCCATGGACAGGGCTATGCTCGGAGTTTTGCTGCGTGGCAGAACTCTAGAGTAACTGACATAGCTCAACGAATCAGTAAGCGAAGTGTAGGGCGTTCTCCCATTAGATGGAGAGACAACCTGGTGAGAGATGCAGGAAGTCGATGGATGCGGATAGCTCATGATTTATACGTGGTAGAGCCATGCTACAGCTATATTAGTAGTATAGTTGTAGCACGAATGGGTCAGCTCGACCGGGGAAGGACCACGCTCTCACAGAATATCAGCGTAAAGTAGCAGCTTAACACTGCTGTGTTTCGTATGGTGAGTGTAGAGAACCGGAGACCCTTTTTACTGGAAAAGAGGCATTCCATCTTAGTCCTCACGGGTGACAACGCTTCTCCATTTTGATTCGCAAACGAGGATAGATGTAGATGTCTATGGGCCACATCGGCCACTTACCATCAGGTGGACTGTGTGCTCGTTTATCACCCTATCATATAAAAAAAATGTGGTATTCTTTGGGCGAGGCCTATGTTCAGCAGAGGACTTATTATAGGCTATAATGATGAAGACGCTGAAGCATTGTTTTAAGCACTATATTAATATGACTAAAATCAGCTGTCTTTCGATCTTATTCTTCTATATTTGAATGCATGAAAAAAAGGTTTCCTGACTGGTCACTTACAATATTATGGTCAACAGTAGACCTGTGAAGAGCTGTAATGATGGAGGATGATGAAACATTATTTTAAACAGTACCTCATTACTAGGAACCATCAATGATTCTCTACACTCATCATTCGAAACATAGCACTATCATAACTATCAGTCCGTTGAACCATTTTAAAATTATACAAGTTCTTCTATTATGAACTTATGTCATTTTGTAACATTTCAACGAATATTTTGTTAAAATAAGTGAAGGCCTCTGCCCATCAGTGGGGCGTTAATTAACTTTTTTACTTCATTGCGTTAAAGTTGTCTTATTGCAAATTATACCGTCTTATTACAAAAACGGATTTATTGACAGTCTCGTGTTTAAGTTATGGTTTTGTAGTAAATATTATTTAATCTGTGGTTCTTCTAACTCAAGAAATCCCCTGGAGTTTTGGCGGGCACTTGATCGGCGGCGGATTGCTACTCCTATATTATTGTTTACCATAATGGTATGAAGATTATTTTGATGTGTAAAAGTGGTGCGGTTTTATGTATTAGATGTCTGCGCATGTGAATTTTTAGTGGCAATGTGAAAAGGTGAAAAAAGTGCTCCGATGGTGATGTGAATCTCTAGATAAGGTCTGCTTAGGCGCCTCGCGATACTATCGACAACTGTCTGCTGGATTATGTTGCCGTCAAAATCTTGCAATCTAAATAATGGTTTGAAGTGGCTTTTGTTATGTAAAAGTGGTGCGATTTTGTATTAAGTGTCTCCGCATGTGAACTATTAGTGGGAACGGTTTAACAAGTGGTCTGATGGTGATGTCATTCAAGATAAGGTGTCTGTAAGCTTAAGCGCCTTGAGATACCATCGCCAACTGTCAGCTGTCTGCTGGCTCAAGTTGCAGTCAAAATCTCCCAAGAACTGCACAATGTGACGCATTAACATATTGTGAAGCAGACTACTATAAACGATTATTAACACTAGATACTGAAGTAAATTAATGAAGACACGGCTTAAAGGACAAGCATCCAAGCCAAAATCTAAATTAAAAAAGACTATACATTAAGTATATACTGTATTGCAAAATGGATGATAATAACTCCAGGGAATGAGGTTACGCTACCAAACTATTCTTAATTTATTTTGTGCAGTTAATTATAATTATGTTACATAATAAATAATTATAAACTGTTCTTTTTTTTTTTTCAAAAAATAAGTCCCATTGTGTTTTTTGCTGGTTCGTCCTAAGACCGCGATACGAGTAATTTCCGATCCTGTGGTAAATGTATACATACAAATAAAATTACATTGTCTTTCTGTAATATCATAAATGGCAAGTGGTTATTTGCATGCTATTAAGGCGTAAATAACGACTTTTAATGTCTGTCTGTCTGTTTGTCCAGGCTAATCTTCGGAATGGCTGAACTGGTTGTGATGAAACTTTATGAACAGATACAGAGCAATGCCTTGGTAGATCTAGGCTACAATTTATCCGAAAAGCAAAGCATTTTTGCAATAACAAAATAATAATAAAATAAATGCCTTATCTTAAATCTAAATAACGCCACTTTAATAGATCTTATCCAGGCGAAGCCGGGGCGGATCACTAATTAAACATAAGAACTACGTTAACTGAAACTAATTTTATTAATTTTATCGTGTTTAATTTTCATTGTGAAAATAAGACGCGATAAAATCCGCAAAATTAGTTTCATTTAGTGTGTAGTGTTTGAGTAAAAATATAAGAAAATCATAAGAATGACGTTCAATAAGTATTATTTATAATCTCCTGGTACAATTACAATACTACATGACATTCTCCATTACCGTAGACTATTAATTTCGATATCACTATTTGAATAATCAGATTAGTATGCAAGCGTTCAATCGGTGCAGTCCGCCACCATGCACTAAAGCATTCAGGTCATCTCTTGCATACCGCACCCAGGTAATGTCTCTGTTGAATTATTAATTCTGCTGAATGGCTAATTTTATCGGCGGCAGCTTTGTATTGCAGCTTCCACAAAGCCGGAGATTATGTATACGTGCTAAAATATGCTGATTCGAAAGTTGTACGCTGTTATGTATGTTACTTAAGGAAATGTGTGTTGCTTTATTTAAATTCTATACATATTAGTTTCAGTTTAAATTATATGGATTCTATAGAAATTATACGAATATTAATTATTGCAGAAGTAATGACTAACATACTCAACTAAGAGTCAGTTTCATGTGTGTTTTAAATATTATATACTAGCTGTGCCCGTGGCGTAGCTCGCGTACATAGGTTTTACTTAAAGAATTTGACGTTTAGGGTAAGAGAATATTAAACGATTTATATCATTACTGTATCAATAAGTGGTAACCAAAATAAATCGATTAGCTCAAAGTTCTAAGTCGTTTATGATAGAGCTTCTGTGTAAACGACGTTAGAAGTAGACTTAGCCGGGGCGTACAGAAAAAGGTTACGGGGACTACTAACGCGGGAAAAAGCAACATAGAGCTGGCCATATACAAAATAATCAGTACTGAGTTCCACTCCTGCAACGCGTAAAGTTTGACCTTGTGCTTTATTTACGATCGTCGCATAACACACGCTGAGTGGGAAAAACGCTTAAAATAGGGATATTCGATGATCATCGATGTTAAAAACAAAAACTTCGATGTTTTAACATCGATGTTAACACATATCAAACATCGAAACATCGACGTCAATGAACCCATAATCGATAATTGGGAACTTGCATACAATGCGAACCCGCAAAATCAATATCAACTAATCTTGCATCTGCTCTGAAGATTAAAAATTTTGAATAATTCAGAATTCCTGAACGCATCGTTAACCTAAAAAAATGTCAGTATGGTGTTTCAAACTTAATTGTCAAGTATCACCTGTAATGTCATAATGGTCACTGCTTTCGCTCTATTTTGTAGTGTCGTTGTCGGTTGTCGCATAATAACTATTATACGTAAATTGATATTCAAGTTATTTGTTACTTTTCCCTTGATGTGTATACCCACATAATTTTGAAACAGTGTGTGTCTACACATATACAAAAAACATCGATAATGGTCAACATCGATTTCTTTTTTTTTTCTTTTTTTTCTTTTTTTTTATGCTTAGAGTAGGCTAAACATCGAACATCGATGTTGAGCTATCGATGCCAACATCGATGTTTCTGCAACATCGATCATCCGTATCTTAAAATTGAAAGGAAAGTTATTTGGTATCAGAGGGATTCTGGGTATAAAACAATATCACGACATTTTATTGCAATTTTGCTACTTTTAGTCGAGTTTTGTTGAATAACTTGGACGTACGTATTATTTTTTCTGGTTTTTGTTTCTGATGATGTTTGTGTTGTGAGCCTACACAGCTCTTACAGGCTTACAGCTTTATCGGACTCATGGATATAAATGTCTTCAGTGAGTCTAAATACGATTCACCGGCGAAAAATCTTAATACCGCAATTCAGAAAAGGTTGTAATTTGTACAACGCCATCTATTACATTCTTTGTGAGAAAACATCCTTTTTTTAATTTAAGGAAAACATATAATAGGATAACATATTTTTTTACTGTGTTTTAAGTATAAATATATTATAATAGAACGTTTTTTTTTACACACGAATCTTTTTATTACTATTTCTGAGATTTTATGGCACCATTAAACAAATTCGAACCTACATTTCAAAATAATAATCATAACTTTCGATAGAGTTAACCAATTTTAATAAAACAAAGATTTAATGAACTCGATAATACGCTTTATGATTTTCTTAAGGATATAATTGAAAAAAAAAAAGATGTTTACTCAAAACGTCATGCGTTCATAAACAAACAGACAGACCGTCAGACAGTACAATTCTAAAAATTATAAAAATGTACTTATTTAATAATTTTCAGTCCCCATAATGATTTTAGTCACAAATTAATATACTATACAATGTACAGAAACAGTCACAACATTCTATCACCATTTTTATTATATGTATATGCATAGATTTAAAGAGAGATGGCGATGTTAACATCAATTCTAAAAATAAGAGATTAATTGACGCAATTGATACAATAAAAAACATAAAACAACTTATAAATCAGTGCCTGCATAGTAAGCAAAAAAGAAAGTTCAAAACCGAAAAACGAAATTGTTAATAGCTCTTTTAAAATTTGATTTACCACATAGAGTACCTACTCGGCGGTCAAAGACATTTAA